GACAATAAAAAGTCATACCGGCTTCCCTGGTGGTGCAAGGGGCTAAGCACCGCACTATGAAGCTATCGCAGCCTCTGCAGCACGACTTCAATTCCCTGCCAGCCAGGGAGATACCCACATGGCGCGGCAGACCTTTCCTGTCTCGCCCGCTGCTCCCCTTAGCAGTATTTTCAGTCAGTCTGCCTGTTCTGTTTCCCACTCTGTGTCTGGTGAATCCTCTCACCACCCCCCACACCTCTGGTCTGTACCCCAGCTCTTGTATGCATAAATAAATAAATCTTTAAAAAAAAAAGTGATACCAAGAAAATGCATAGTGTTTATGGTATCTGCATTCACTCAGTATGCATATATTGAGCATCTATCACGTGTCTCGAAGTTTCCAGACCCCCAGGCATTCCAGCATTTGGGCAAGAGAGGGCTCTGTGTCATTCAAGGCTCTTGTTTTCAAGCAACAGAAACTGGCTCTCTGGTTAATTAAGCAAAGATGTTTGGTGAAAAGATATTGGGGGGCTTCTAGGATGGGGCCAGGAAAGACTAGAGTCTCCGGGGCAGGGGCTCTGGAGAGAGGACAGGCCAGAGGAAGCCCCCACTGGTCTGTTCTAGTTTCCTCTTCATGCAGCCCCCTGACTGGCAATGGACACATCCCTCTGCTCTGCCCTCCTCTTCTTTGTCCCGCAGCCATTGGCTTCTCCCTTTGCTCTGACTCACTTCACCACCCCTGCCTGCTCCCTGTTACATAACTGCCCCCTGGCCAGGAGCCCTGATGGAACCTGAGTCACCTCGGTCTCCCACCCCCACCTCACAGCGCCCTCTCAGCCTCTCCTGTCTGGTACAATCGTTCACAGCTGGCAGGGCCCAGCCTCAGCAGGAAATGAGAAGAGAGAAAGGCAGGGAAGGAAAGGAGAGAGGAGGAGAGGAAGGAAGAGGAGCCTGAGGGAGAGGCAGGTGAGGAAAAGAAAGGGAAGAGGGGAAGGAGCAGGAGGAAGCCTAGTAGGAGTAGGAAGGGGTGAGGGGGAGGAGGAGCAGGCCATGCCTCACTCCAGCTCTGGGACAAGAACAGGGTCTCGAGGAGGATCCTCTGCACTTGAAGCCCTGGCCCATGGCCAGCTGTCAGGGGACTCAAGTTGACTTTCTGTGCCTCAACTTCCACATCTGTGAAATGGGCATACAGATGTCTGCACCCCCCCATATCAGGGCAGCATTATTCACAGTAACCAATGTCCACTGATGCATGCGTGGATAAAGGGAGTGTGGTCTGTCCTCACGATGGAATAGTATGCAGCCACAAAAAGGAAAGCCTGCCTTGTGCCACCTTATGGATGAAACTGCAGGGCACGGTGCTAATGAGATAAATCATGGCAAGACAGGTACTGTGGAATCTGAAAAAGCCAAGCGCATGGAAAAAGAGAGTAGAACGGTGGTCACTAGAGGCTGAGCAGGGAGGAGGGAGCATGGGGAGATGCCATGGGGTCTGATGTTCAGGCCGTCGCCTCCCAGAGGCCATTGGAGGGGCCCCTGAACAGACACTGAGCAAATCATCCTGAATCCCACCACTCAGTTCATCCTCCCATGAAGTCAAGTTGAAGTGTCAGCCATGAGGCAGTGGGTGACAGCCTGGTCTGCATCCTGCCTCCGCTGCAGAATCACTCACCTTTGCACGCAGGTGTGCTCTGTCACATTCAGGACACCCACCAGGCTCCAACATCCACGGATGAAGCCAGATGCCCCACGGGAATGGCCAGGGGCTCCAGAGCCCCGCCTGGCACATTCACTTGGGAACATGTCTTTTAGCGGAGAAAAGAGGGTTCTGAGGCATCTGACCACAGGGTAGAATACTTCAAAATGACAAAGCAAGGCCGGAATCTAATTTTTCACTTAGTCCCCAAATATCTGAAGAGCCCATCCTGTGTCGGGCCTGAGATGCAGGATGAACATCCAATGTGGTTCTGTTCTCACGGAGCCACATGGAGCTATTTACACTTAAATGAATCACAAGTAAACAAAATGGAAGGTTAGTTCCGCGATCTCACTCGTCAGACAGAACGTGCTCAAGAGCCAGTTGCAGCCCGGGGCTACCATCTGGACAGAGCAAAGGGAGGCAGCTGCCAGCTTTATAGAAGTTCTTGTTGAGGCAGCGCTGAGATAGAGTTATCAGCTGAGACGATACAACAAAGCCACACAGACACCTTAGCCTTTGTCCATGGAGGCACGGGCAGTGCCCTCGCCGTTTTCCAGGTAAGGAACAGTGCCAGGGAAGTCACTGCTTTTTCATTAGCCTGAAGTGCAGTGAGCACTGGGAACCTGAAACCACACCCTGCACACACACACACACACACACACACACACCTCAGACTTTCTGTCCAAGGCTGCAGATGGGGGCGGGACATGGGTGAAGGACATGGAGCTCACCTGAGACAAAGCCTGACTTTTAGAAAATGATGCCAGTTTAGCCACTGGTTGAGCGGAAATGGTCCTGGCACAGCCAACAGTGTGAGCCTGGGCAGTAGTTCACCCCTCTGCAGCCTCCCTGTCTCCATCTGTAACAGGGTGCGTAGTAATAGCCGGCCCGGAGGACTGTGGGTAAGAATAACTACTCCAAAGATTACAAAGCACATAAAACACTATATAAATTATCATTTTCATTATCACCTTATCACAATGATGATGATGATCCATGGATCCCTGAAATTTGGGGAGGGGGAGAAAGGACCTTTTCTCTCTTTAATTTCCTTTATTTTCATTCTTATCATCACCCAAAGCTAAGCTGATTGTCCCAGAGTCCCTCTGTAATGTAAGACAGGAAAGGGAATATACCTGGAATAGTATATTCCACATACTATACCAGTATATTCCACATACTATACCAGTATATTCCACATACTATACCAGTATATTCCACATACTATACCAGTATATTCCACATACTATGCCAGTATATTCCACATACTATGCCAGTATATTCCACATACTATGCCAGTATATTCCACATACTATACCAGTATATTCCACATACTATGCCAGTATATTCCACATACTATGCCAGTATATTCCACATACTATGCCAGTATATTCCACATACTATGCCAGTATATTCCACATACTATGCCAGTATATTCCACATACTATGCCAGTATATTCCACATACTATGCCAGTATATTCCACATACTATGCCAGTATATTCCACATACTATACCAGTATATTCCACATACTATGCCAGTATATTCCACATACTATGCCAGTATATTCCACATACTATGCCAGTATATTCCACATACTATACCAGTATATTCCATATACTATACCAGTATTCCATACCTGAAATAGTAACCAACTCACAACAAGGGCTTTCCACATGCCAGGCTCCATGTGGGTCGCTTTGCATGGATTATGTTTACTCTTCCCGTCAACCCACAGGCATGCACGACTAAAATTATCTCCATTTTGCTGGCGAGGAGACCCCAGCTCAGGAGAGCGAGCTTGCCCACATTTATTCACCCGGCAAAGAAAAGGCTCTGGCGTCAGTTCCACCAGCCGCCTCGAGGTGGCAGTGCCCCCCCACTTTCCAGTCGCGCTATCTGGGGGAGCCCTGGGGAGGGGTCCGCGCGCAAACGTTCCGCGAGCTCCCGCCGCGCGCCAGAGCTGCTCCCCGCGCGGAGGCCGCTTGGGGAAATAAAACAGGACCAGATTTTCTGCCCTCAAGTTTCTTCCTTTCCGTTTTCCTTAAAAAATAATAACCGGTATCTGCAGAGAAGCGTACCCGAGGGGTGCATGCCTGAGCCAAGAGAAGCGCTCTGACTTGGCCAGGACAGCGAGACTCGCGGGAAGGGATGAGAAGATCTGGAAGGTCCGCGTTCCCCAAAGATCAGGGCTGCAACGACCCCCTAGGGCGAGTGCTACTCTGCAACCCACACCTCCCCTCTGCCACAGAAAGGTGGGCAGCAGGGGTCCCCTCTTGCCTTGTGGGATCGGAAGGGAGCCGAGGCACAGGGTCTCGCCCTGGGAGACCAGGGTTGAATGGGGAGCGATCTCAAAAGTCTGTTTTGTGGGGCAACCGAGGCAGCTGCTCTGAAGGTCACGGAGGGCACCAGCCTCGGGAGGACGCAGGAGCGCAGCCCCAGGCCGGCGCGGGGTCCTGTGGCCCTGGGGCCCCAGGGTGGACCAGGGGCACCTTGGCGCCGAGGTGGGAGGCTGCTCAGACCCTTCCTGACAACTTGCCCCCCGCGGCCCGCGGGCAGCTGCGCGTGTGTGCGCGAAGACTGCGGCGCGCAAGGCCGCTGCTTCCCACGCGGCTGAGGACGCGCGCGGACGCGCATGGACGTGGCGGCACGTGCGCCTTTGGGGGTCGGGTCCTGCGCACCGGCTCGCGCGCACCCGGTGCGGTGCGGCCAAGGACGCGGCGCTGCGCCCGGGGTGCGTGCAGGGACCGCGACGCGCGTGGACGGGGTGCCCGGGGAGGCGCTGCGCTCCCCCCCACCGCGCTGGGGCGGTGGAGCCGCGAGGGTGCCTGGCGGTAAACAGGGCGGCGGTGACTCTGTAGCGCGCGTGCGGGATGCCCCTGGCTGCTGCACCCGGCGGGGGCAGGCGGGGGCCGTTATTGCCATGAACCCGCGCTGGAGAGCGTGCGGGGCCCGGGGAGCCCCTACCCTGGGAGCCTCGTGGGTGACACCCCCGCCGGCGTGAGCGGCGCTTCTGGACCGCCTGCGGGCGGACTGCGGCCGTGAGCGGCGTCTCCCCGAACTTGGGGCGCGGAGGGGGGTTTCTCGGCGCTCCCGGCTGGGGGAGAGGCTCGCGCAGGTGGCAGGCGCGGCGGGCGCGGGGCTCCGGGCGGAGCGCGCGGGACCCCGGCCGGGGCGGGGCCGAGGCCCTGGGGGCGGGGCCGTCCGGGGCGGGGCGCGGCGGCCGCAGAGGCGCGGGCGGGCCAGGGGGCGCCTCGGCGGCTGCGACTCGGGAGGGCGATGCAGTGAGGCCGGGCGGGCGCGCGGGCGGGGCGCGCGGCGCTGCGGAGATGTGACTCGGGCGAGGGCCAGCGGGAGCGTCGGCGCTGCGGGACCGCGGGCGTCGGTGAGTGTGAGTCGCGCCGATGGGCTGGGGGCGCTGCGGAGACCCCAGAAACTTTTCCCGCCGTGGACTTGGAGGACCGGAGCGCTGCTCCTCCTGGCCCGGGGCTGGTCTGCCGCGGGAGGGGCGAGCCGGGGCCGGGACCGCGGGGCCGCGGGAGGGCAGCGGCGGCGACCCCGGGCCGGGGGGAGCCCCAGGCTCTGCGGAAGGTCTGGGGCGACCGCAGGGGAAGGGCAGCCGGGCCGGCAGGGACAGGAGGCGCGCGCGGCGGTGCCGGGGCTCGTCGCGAGGGGCTGGGGCGGTTCTGGGGGAAGGGACCTCGTGGCAAGCCCCTGGGGCTGAGCAGCCAGGACAGACCGGTCCCGGGGCGCAGGGGCCGGGCTTTGGGGGTGCGCGGCAGCACCTGCCGCAGGGGCTAGAGGCCACGCTCCAGCCGACTGTGGCGCGTCCTGCGGGACGGGGCGTGGGGGGGGGTCACTGCGGGAGAAGGGAGGCCGCCGAGCGCCCCGGCTGGGGCGCGGAGAAGGAGCGGCTGCGTACAATGGTGGGCTGGCGTTCCTCTCCCGGCCGGGCTCGAGGTGAGGACGGAGCCTGTGCCGCGTCCCCCTCAGCAGGGAGCAGGGCTCGCCACAGCTGCACGCGGCTCGGCCCTGGGGAGCTGGTTAACCAGCCGGGGAGGGGGACACCGACCTTGCCACCGAGGACGGCGCCAGCGCAGCTCGTGCCTGCGTTACCCGGCCCCTGCCCAGTCACGCCCAGGCCTAGCCAACCCCCCCATCTGCCCCCCGTTGTTAAAGGGGGCGGCTCCTTGGAGCGCGGACAAAGACCCCTGGAGCGTGGCGGGCAGCGCGTCCCCGGCGGGCCCCGGCCCACGCGCCACATCGGCCGCCAGACTGCGCCGGCACGGGGGCACCTGAGCCAGGACCAGGAAAAGCGGGGGGTCCCGCAAAGACCAGAAAAGTGGGGGAGGGACCTGGCCCAACCGCGGGAGAACTTGAGCCGAGGGACCTTGGCTCGGAAGTTTTCTCGGATGGGGTGGGGGCTTTCGGGGAGTCAGCGTCGGAGTGAAACTGCTGGCAAACAACATGCAAATGGGATGCAAAGCGGCCTCTGTGGCTCGGGAGCCCTCCGGGCGGGCTTTGTATTTAGACTGGCCTGAACCCTGCTTGTGGGTCCCGGGTCTGCATCTGAAAAGGGAGGGGTGCGCGGCGCTGAGGAGCTGCAGGGGAGAAGGAGTCGCCATCTGGGGCACAGGCAGCGAGAGGAGCGACTTGTTAGAAAGATGAGCTGCGAGGCTTTGCTGGGTGGTTTATTTCGGGGAGTGTGCAGCTGCGGCGCTGGCTCTGGGACACTCCGGTGCGGGGAGTGCAGGAGCCCCTCTTGGGGTGGGAGCTGGATGAACCAGCGCTAGATGAGTAAATGCATAGGAAGTCGCTGTAACTTCCCACTGGAATGAAAGCTGCCGGGGAAGTAAGGCCGGGTGCTGTAAAAGAAAGTGAGGAGGGTCCCTGTGCATAAGAAAAGGCTGTTGTGACCATGGAGTGAAGCCCGGAAAGGTTGGGGGGCGGCTGCCACTGGGGGATCTCTGGGGGACAGAGCCCCGCGGAGGTGGCTGGAGGTGGAAAAGAGCTTAGAGAAGCTGAACAAAGGCCATTGTGGCTGGAGCTCAGCCGATGGGGGTGGGGGAGAGAGGAGATGGCTGGGACCGGCCAGATCACCATCTTCTGGGCCAGTGGAAGGAGTTTTGGTTTTATTTTCCTAGGGCCAGTGAAGCCTTGGAGCGTTTGGGGTGGGAAGCCCTGGGGTCGGACTTGTAGAAGCTCCCCGGACCTCACCAGGGAGACCGAAAGCAGCCTTTCCTCCTGCGTCTGGGGGTGGCCCGGCACCGGAGGAGCTCTGACCACCTCGTGGGGACCGCCAGCGCTGGCCAGCCCCGATGAGAAGGGGCTCAGGTTTTGAAATCCACTCCCCGCTTTGAAACAGTCCTGGTCCACCTCGGCCGCCCCCACTCTGATCCCACACCCGTAGGAGCACTTCCCTGCAGAGCTTCCTGGGGCTTCTGAGTTAGTCACTTTTCTCCTCTGGGAGCCTTAGAAGAACCATCCACCCCGGAACGGGCAGCCAAGGATGCAATTTGCATTTAAATGATTGCTTTTATTTACAGGATCGGAGCCACTTTGCATATTCATGCATCACGGAGCCTGTGTTCTGGCAACCCTATTTACTAACCTTTGAGGTTATTAACTGCGAGGGCCCCCAAATAGGTCGGTGTTCCAGGCAGTGTTAGATGGTGTAACTTGGAAAAGATGCCAGACGGTGGGATTGCCGGCCTGGGAAAGAGCTTCATGTCAGAAAATCTTGTAACAGTCTAATCAGGCAGGCGCAGGAAATGCATTGGCGGCCACAGCCCCAGTGGGAGTGGGCTGGGGCAGACAGTGATGCTGGGGTGCATGGGGAGACACTGCAGCCTCAGCCTGGCCGGCCCTCTGCCTGACCTGGGGGTGGAGTTAAACCAGGGGTACAGCAGAAAGACTTTGGGGTCAGGAGCTGGGAGAAATGGATTGTAGTCCCAGCCTTAGCCTGTACATTGTGGTCACATTGCTTCACCTGTCTGCCTTTATTTACCCAAATGGACAATGGGCCTTAAGATTGTCTTTTTAAAGCAAGGCCCCGGGGCTCCCTGTGTGTCAGGCCTGGTGCTCGATACTGTGCACATGTTTTCGTGCCAACCTGGTGAAGGCAGCACTATCTTTATCTTCATTTTACAGATGAGGAGACTGAGGGTCAGCGAGGTCAGGTAATGCCCAGTGCCCCTTAGTTCTGTCTGGCTTCCCTCCCACTGAAGTGGCCACTCCTCCAGGAGACTGATGAGTGTCACTGCTGTCCCTCCCTGCTCTAGCGCCCACGCCCATCTTTAGGGTCCCTGGGTTGGAGATACCTCTGATCTATCCCTTGGGGCTGTGCTATCACTGCAGGGACAAGGTTGGACTGAATGCTGTGTCCCAGCATTCGGTCTTGTACACCTTGTATCTCCTTTCACAGGGATGGGTGGGCATGTGGGGATGCTGGTTCTAAGAGGATGGAAGGTGGCCTGGGCTCCCTGGGGAAAACCACCTTCACAATGAAGCTCTCCCTTCTAGTACATGCAGTGGGAATTAAGAGAATGTGGGGGTTCCCAGAGTAGAACATCCCCCAAAGGCATCTCCCCTTCAAAACCCTGGAGACCTACCTCTGCTGGGTGTGATAGGGGAGGCTGGAAACTAATGGTAGACAAAGACCCGGGTGAGCCCCCTTCCAGCGTCCTCTAGCAACCTCCACACCTTTGGAAAAGCAGAGTCAAAAAAGCCCACCGGCGACCTAAGCGTTTGCCAATCTTTTTGATTCATTTAACAGGCTCTTTATATATGTGCTGACCGCATGTTAGCCACCATCCCGACATCTAGTCAGTTATTTTAATCTTCATGACCCCGAGTCACAGGCACTATTCTCACCCCCATTTTGCAGATGAGGACACTGAGGCCAGAAAGGTTAAGTCAGCAGTGGGGGGAAAAGGAGGGTCACGGGGGGCACTAGCAAGTGGCAGGGACAGGACTTGAAGCCAGAAGGTCTCACTGGGGAGTCTGGGCTGGCGTGTGGAGGAGCAGGCCGAGGCCCGCTTGTGGCCTTCAGGCAGGCAGTGCCGTCCTTCTTGTAGGAATCCTGCCTGCATTCTTCCCAGCCTCTGCAGGCCCCGGCTTGCCGAGCAACGGAGCCTGCTGCTTCACCACCTGCCGGAGGCTTCTGGCCCCTCTGCAGGGGGATGGGTGTGTGTGTGTGTGTGTGTGTGTGTGTGTGTGTGTGTGTGTACTTAAGTGCATCTGAATGAGTAACATTGCTGGGAGCCTGGCTGGCAGCGAAGGTAATTAGTATGTGAGCCGAGTCTTGCACATCCGTTCACATTTATTCATTACTCCTTTTGAGGAGCAGCACGCCCACAGCCCGCGGGTTTGTTTCCATATATTCATGCCATCCCAATCAGTCTTGCCTGGCGGCTAACTTGAAACCCCTAATCCAGGATTGTAGGGTTTGAGATGCCTGGTAGCTGCTCGGCTCTTGGCTGGGGGAGGCCCCAGGTGGCTGATGCAGCAGCGGGATGGGGCGCCCCTGACAATGAGCCTCCTGCTGGGTGTGGGGCAGGCGGTGGAAGGTGCTGGGACTGGGCGCGTCCTGGCTCCCCCCATCCTTCTGGGCAGACCCGAGCATCCTTGGGACTTGAGGCAGGACTCCTGAAGCCCAGACGGCTGTGAGTCTGCGTTTCTGATGAACTTTGAGGCAAAGCTGCTGCAGGTGCCGGTGTGAGGACCACACTTTGACTTCAGTCCCCCAGCCCCGCAGTTCCCTCTTCTGTAAGATGGCGATGAGAACACCTGTCCTGCCGGGGTGATGTGAGGGTTTGGGGAGCGTATTTATGAATGCATTCATTCAGCCAGTGGCTCAGGAGCCTGCCCATGTGCCATGTCCTGGGGGCAATCGGTGCAAAACAAGACGGGCAGGAATTGGGCATTGCGGGGTGGGGGAGAGCAAAAGAACAATAAAATAAAATCATAGAAAATTGTGGCACATGCTGCAAAGAAACAGATCAAAAGTACTGGCATCGGGTGTACTGGGAGCAGGGAGAACCTCATTTAGATAGACTCACCAGCAAAGGAGCCACCAGGGGCCATTCCTAGAGCCCTGGTCTGTAGTGAGAGTCCTGTAACAATTGTCCATTGTTCCTGGCTCCGCTGCTTGCTAGCTGTGTGGCCTTGGACAAGCCAACTGAATTCCCTATTTTTATTTTCTGTAAAACAGAGATAGTAACAGTAGCAGTATGTGCTATGGGGATCAAGAGAGTTTGGGGTTACACGCCTAGTGTCCTTGTGCTAATAGGGCATTAATACATGGGAAATTCAGAGCAGCATGCCTGGAGCTTAGTCAACACTGTAAGGTTAACCGTTACTGTCATTTTTACTGTGGTTGTAATAGAACACTGCACAGCAATTCTGAATCCCCCAGAAATTCTTCATGAGCTGAACTCAGCTTCATTCTGTCCATCCTGGACATTGCTCTGTAGCTTGGGGTGGCTGTCACCTCATGGGCACCCTTAGCAATGCTAATTACCCACTTGAGACAACCAGACTCCAGTAAAGCTACAGGCTGCTAATGGTTGCATCCACATACTTGGATATTAAGTAAGGGGGACTTTCTGGAAGAAGTGGTCACATGATATAGGAGGAAGAATAAAACTTCGTTAGGGAGTGATAAAAACCCAGCTCAAACTGGCTCATTGGAAAAAGGTGTGGGGGTGGGCAGCTAACTGGCCACTGAAACTGTAGAGACCAGGGTAGCTGACTTCAGTGGACTAGGACTCTGCTCCATCACTTGACCATTTCTTCTGGGTCAGATATTCCCAACTCAGACCTTTTTCCTTTGAGCTTATCACCCCAAATAGAAAGAGAAGACCCAGTAAATTCCAGCAAAAATCCTAGGACTGCTTCTCATAGCTGTTCCAGGCTGTGTGCCTGCCCATCAGCCAGTCACTCTAGCCAAAGGCCAGCATACATGCCCCGATTGGCCAGGCTAGGTCAGGTGCTGGTGCTTGGCCCTGGGCCTTGAGGTGGCTCTCTAAAGGACAGTCTAGCTCTTTTCAGAGGTGGGAGAAATGGATGCTGGGCAACAAAAACAACAGCTGTTCTGGAAAGAAAGTGTCCACCCTCAGGAATGAAAGCAGAAAGCAAGAGTGTATCCATTCCCCTGTCAAAAGGGAGTGAGCCTGGACCCCAGCCAGGGGGTTGCTGCACAATTTCAGAAGCTTGGCCACCATCTTGGTGTTTTCATCATCCCCATTGGTGTCCCATTGTGGTTGGGAGTCCAATCAGAAGGGGGGAGGAGCCGGGGAAGCCAAATTGCAGCCAGGCCTGGAGAGAGGAAATTTCCCCCCAGGAGAGTGAGTGGAGGCAGCTAAAAAAGGCCAGAAAGGGACATGGCTGCAGCTCTGAGACTGACGGCTGCCATCTTTGCCATCGGCGCTGTCCTTAGGTATATAAACCAGGGCTTCTCAGCCTTGGCACTGACATCTTGGGTCAGATAATTCTTTGTCGTGGGGGTGGGGAGAGTGTCCTGTAGATTGTAGGATTTTTAGCAGCATCCCCAGAATCTACCCAATAGCAGCAACCCCCCCCCCCCAGTTATGACAACCAAAAATCTCTCTAGACCTGGACCCCTGGGAATTAAAATCTGGGGGGGGGGGCTTGGGGGGGGCAGGAAGCTGATGGCATTTTGTCCCAACACATCCGGTTCCGTTATTTTGACTCCCAGTTTGCTTACAGGACCTTGTAGTGAGCACTCCGACTAGGACAATGTTTTTCTAAAGGGTGGTACATTGGCTATGCCCGATATGTATGCCACTTGTGTTGTAGCAATCTAAAAACGTCCAAGAGATAAGGATTTAAGTGAGTAGATTCTAAGGGCTTGGGGGGTCAGTTAAATAAATAGCTCAGGTGGTGTGTAGACATGGCATAAATAACTCAGTAATACCCCAGGACTGGCATGGCTGGACAGTGGGTACCGCTGCCCCTCGTTTGCCTGAGTGGGATGCTGGGAAGCTCTTGGAAGGAGCATCCCTTGCCAGACGCCTTCCACTCCGAGCCTGCCTTTGCTCATCTGTAGGCAGAGGAGCCGGTCCCCACAGACCAGGCTTCTTCTCATTCAAGGACATCAATAATTTATCCCAGTCGATGGCCTCACAGCCAAGGCAGGATCGGAACTGCCCACGGGATCCCATATAGGCGCAGAGAGAGGTGGTCGATACCGCATTTACTTAAGGAAGCCCCAGGGGCCCGCTGGCTCTGCAAGGAGGGTGGCTGGTTACAGCCTCACCCGTGGGTGGAGCTAAGGCGGCAGGCCCAGCTCGGGATGCCCAGCAATGGGCATCGTGGCAGCGCTGCTCAGGCTGAAGGTTTCTGAAGTCCAGGCTGCCCTCAAGGGCAAGGAGCTGGTGGCTGTGGAGTGGAGGAAGGAGCCCTGGGGGAGCGTCTCTCACCCTTTGGTGTTTACTTGGCATCTACTTGATGCCAGCGCCCTGTGCTGGAGTCCACATCAGTGCACTCATCCATGATGTGACTCGCGAGGAGGCAGAGATGGACATTTGTCTAAAGGGCTTCCGGGACAATGCCCTTGGGGGAGGGGCATGCTACAGCGTCCAGTGGGTGGAAACCAGGGATGCTGCCAAATACCCCACACTGTGCACCCCGGGCCCCACTACAAAGAAGGATCAGGGCCCCGTGTCAGTGATACCCAAACTGAGTAACCCTGGTCTACACAAGGAACAAGACAGTGTCTCTGTCCCGCAGCTCACGATGGTGAAGGGCAGGGAGGAGGGAAAGGAAAAACAGAGTAAGCCGGGGATGGGATTAGAGCTCAGAAATAGGCTCAAGTGGAGAGAACTGGGGTGTGACCTTGGCCAAGGTCAGAGTGCATGACGTGATTGCTGAGACCAGGGCAGGAGAGTAGTTTTCTATGCCAGGGGTCAGAGGTGTGTTAACAGAGAGAGCTGGAGGGCGATGGGGCGGGGGGAGACAAGAGGGAGACTTGGGTGAGCCCATCACTGCAGCCACTATGCCCAGTCCAGCTTGCAGGGAGCCCAGCGAGGCCCAGAGACTCCTACAGGGCTCCCCGCGCAGAGATGGAAGCTGGAACCAGCCCCCCACATATACACCACGGGCTGGGCTGGGCGAGGAAGGGCTGCCTCCCCTTGCTGTGCCCCTGGGCACCGCACTGGCTAGCAGATATGAATGCGGTGGGTCTGCTTAAAGAAGCCAGGAGTACCAGTTCTGCAATGAATTGATCTTCCCTTCCCATCTCCCCCATGCCTGGCTGGTCTGCCCCACTGCTGGTGTCAGAGAGAAAGATGAGAGCCCACCAGGTGCTCGGCTTCCTCCTGCTCTCCGTGATCGCCTCTGGGGCCTCTGAGAACGCCAGCACGTCCCGGGGCTGCGGGCTGGACCTCCTCCCTCAGTACGTGTCCCTGTGCGACCTGGACACCATCTGGGGCATCGTGGTGGAGGCGGTGGCAGGGGCGGGCGCCCTGATCACGCTGCTCCTGATGCTCATCCTCCTGGTGCGGCTGCCGTTCATCAAGGACAAGGAGAAGAAGGACCCGGTGGGCCTCCACTTCCTCTTCCTCCTGGGGACCCTGGGCCTCTTCGGGCTGACGTTCGCCTTCATCATCCGGGAGGATGAGACTATCTGCTCGGTGCGCAGGTTCCTCTGGGGCGTCCTCTTCGCGCTCTGCTTCTCCTGCCTGCTGAGCCAGGCCTGGCGCGTGCGGAGGCTGGTGCGCCACGGCAAGAGCCCGACGGGCTGGCAGCTGGTGGGCGTGGCGCTGTGTCTGATGCTGGTGCAGGTCATCATCGCCATCGAGTGGCTGGTGCTGACGGTGCTGCGGGACGCCAAGCCGGCCTGCGCCTACGAGCCCATGGACTTCGTGATGGCCCTCATCTACGACATGGTACTGCTCGTGGCCACCCTGGGGCTGGCCCTGTTCACGCTCTGTGGCAAGTTCAAGAAGTGGAAGCAGAACGGGGCCTGCATCCTGGTCACCGCCTTCCTGTCTGTGCTCATCTGGGTGGCCTGGATGACGATGTACCTCTTCGGCATCGCCAGGCTGCCCCAGGGGGAGACCTGGGGTGACCCCACCTTGGCCATCACGCTGGTGGCCAGCGGCTGGGTCTTCGTCATCTTCCACGCCATCCCGGAGATCCACTGTGCCATTCTGCCTGCCCCGCAAGAAAACACACCCAACTACTTCGACACGTCGCAGCCGAGGATGCGGGAGACGGCCTTCGAGGAGGACGTGCAGCTGCCGCGGACCTACATGGAGAACAAGGCCTTCTCCATGGATGAACATAACGCAGGTAAGGGGTCGTGGCCCCGCTGGGTTGAGCTCCGGGGACATTTCTCCCCAGATCGCTCATCTTTCTCAAGAGTGGGTGGTCCTGGGGGCGGATCAGGGCCCCGCCGTTGTGGACCCCTATGCTAAAGCCGGCCCAGAGGGAGATTTTTATCTGGCATTTTGTTTTACCAATTGCTCACTAATTTAATATAAAAGTCAGGCTTCTGGCTCTTTTGAAAAGTCGGATCTGGCAACGCGGGGCTGACATTCCCCCGCAGCAGCAGTGATCTGGGCCTACTTGAACGAGTCAGTGTATGCTGGGAGGGCCTGCCTCTCACCTCCCGCTGAGTTGTGGCTGCCCCTTTAGATGGGATCCACTTTTGCTCACCACACTCCCCACCATGGCCTATTGCTCCCTGACTTGGCCTCTATAACATGTTGCCATTAATCTCCTGCCTCCCTGGGTGTTTGAGTTGCAGCCTGTGTGCCTATTGGCTGCAGGGAATATAGCGAGAACAGGCTCCTATTCCCCACCCACCCACCCCCACCTCACCCCCGCTTCACCAAGAGTGTGTGAATTTGGGCCAGGGGGTAGACATCAGGGTTCAAATCCTGCCTGTCACTTCCTAGATTTGTGACTTCCAGCAAATTACTTTTCCTCTTTGAGACTGTTCTTCTCATCTGTAATATAGAAGCGATGAGAAAATGTACCCCACAGAGCTGTTGTGAGAGCTAATATACTGACGGTAGCCTAAGGACCCATCCCTCCCTCTGTGGGGTCCTCCGAAGCAAAGCCTGAGACTTGGCGTGCAGGTGGTTTCCTTGCGCGCCAAGTCTCAGGCTGCAAGGTGGTCCCTGCAAAAGACAGGGCCTGGACAATGAGCCGGGAATGCAGAAACACCAGAACAAGAGCATTAATGAGCCAGCTACCTCTGCGGGCAGCTGGGGCCCGGCCCTGCCAGGAAGGAGGCTGTGGCATCTCTGCCATCCCCCACTGTCCCAGCTGCCCCCACTACCCTGGTAAATGGCGCTGAATAAGTTCCACTGGCTTCTGAGGCAGGAAAGCAGGGAGCTAATGGGTTCTTGGGGTGCAGGTTTTCTGGGTACACAGAGCTGTCATCCGCTGCTGTAGCAGGACTCCATGGTGAGCCCAGAGGATGGGGTCCCCTGCTCTCGATGCTTGCGATGTGTCCCTCAGAACAGGTACTTAGGGTGAGTCGGCTAGGTCCCCACACGGGAGGTTAAAAAAAAATTGCCTTTTCTCAGTTACCTGAAGATGAATCAGAGGCTACAATAATCATAATAATAATCGCAGCAGTAGTAATTATTGCCTGGGATAGTGATGGTTTATTGAACACTAAGTGCCAGGCACTGCTCTAAGTCCTTAATCTGCATTAGTCTTTGCCTCTGCTGAATCCAGAGATGCTATTATTGTCCCCATCTTATAAATGGGGGCTAACTGGGGGCTGCGAGAGCATTCATCACTCGCCCAATGACAGCGAGCTTGGAGGTGACCAGTCCAGGCTCCCGGGTGGAGTGCCAAGAGCATCCTGCCCATCCCCTCCAGGAGAGGTCAGGGGTACAGAGGGCATCCAATGGATCCTCCAAGGCCACCCACCACCCTCCCCACACCTGGCTGGGCCCAGCCTCCTGCACCTTTGCTCCTGCTCAGACCCAAAGAAGGGAGAGCCTGTGGCCCCAGGTCAGAGTAGGGCTGCTCCCTTCTTACTGGAAAGCCCTGGGCCAACAAACCCAGGTTTGTCGAAGGCTTTGGCAGGGATGAGCAGTGACTCTGGTGGGGCTGGATCCCCCGATTGCCAGAAGATGGGTATCAGGATGGGGATCATCATGGGAAGCCCAGAGGGCCCTTCTGGAGGCCTGATGAGCAGAGGCCAGGAGCTGGCCAGTTCCTGGGGTCCTGGCAGAGCCATCTCCTCCCAGTTCCTTCTGGAACAAGATCCTCTGTATCTGAGAACCCTGGACTCCCCTAGGCCCTCACAGTGATGCGGGTCTCCTGTACATGCATGTTTTTCAGGGAGATCGGTCTATCACTTCACATTCTCAGAGCCCATCTGTGACCCCCCAGAAGGTTAAGAACCAGTGTTGCTGAAGCTGGTGGCAGTTTCCTTGCAGTGAAGTGGGGACGCCATGATTACCCAAGTCTTAGCACCTTCGAAAGAAAAGACAGCCAGCCTCCCTGGACTGGGTCTTATGCCGAGCACTTTAGTGACCAGTCTCATTCAGTCCCTTCAGCAACCTAGCAAGGTCCATTTTGCAGATGGGAAACGGAGGCGCAGAGCTGACAAGCAAGTTGCACGAGAGCAGGGTACAACCCAGGCAGCTGGTCCACATGCCTGCCGCTGCCACAGGGCACGCCTCCCCTTCCACCATGTCTAGTGTCCCTGTGAGTCAGGGCAGCCCTGCGCTTAAGAGAGTTTATCGGGCCCATTTTACAAAAAACTGAGGTCCAGAGGTGGGAAAAGTAGTTCAAGCCCACCCGGAGGGTGTGAGCAGGGCAGCGGGGGAAGCTGCATCTCTCCCCTGTGACTTGCACCCTTGTAAAAATGCAGCCACTGCTTCCATCCATGTGAGACCCAGGGATCAAAGGCATCTGGGACCCGGGTCGGTACCAGCAGTGGCAGGGCCGGCACAGGGAGTGGGGGGTGCTCTGAGAGGCACCCAAGCCCCCTTCTTCACACTCACACATCCCAAAGCCAAGTAAGTTGTCTTTCCTGCTCCCTCTTTTCCCAAACAAAGTAGCGCTTTCTTCCTCTTTCTGATGGTGAAAGATCCACAGTGGTCCTACCGAGGGCTCAGCAAGTAAAATCGTAAAAGTTGCTCAAAGCCCACTGCCCACTGGCACTGTTGGCAGCTGCCACGCCTTCGAGACCCCCCTCCGTGAGCAGTGAGCCCACAGTCTCCCTCCCCTCCAGTCCCTTCCCCCAACAGGCCCAGAGTGGGTCGACTCTGCTGCACGCTAGAAACACGTAGGCAGCTGTGTAAAACCACCAGGGCCTCCGAGTGCACTGAGGCCTGCGGGTGCAACCAGGTTGAAACTGTGGATGGAGGTGGCGCCCTGCAGCGCCCGTTCTCAGCCCACGCTCGGTGGGGACAGAGGCCGGTCCAGGGCTCTGCTGCAGGCGCAGTATCCTCTGCAGGAGGCGGGGCTGCCCTTGGGCACCATCATTTATTTTTCTCATCTGCTGGAGAATTTTCTACTTGTGTCTGGGTCTCCACTGTCAATAGGACTGCAACAAACATTCTGATCCATTCATCTTTGTGCTTTCCGATCAATAAACTCCTGACAAAAATATTACCGAGCACAGTGAGTTAAAGAGAATGCACTTTTCTACCTTGAAAGGCCCCCCCAGATGTACCCCCCCAATGGCTTAATATACTGCTCCCCCTTAATAATTCTATGACCCATTTCCACGCTTCTTCGCCAACCTTGGATGCTGTGGGACCTTTTTCTTAATAGCCTGGTTTTGCATTATCCCGAAGTGCGTGCACCAGAGTTGACATGGGACCAGACGGGGTGCCCCCCAGGCACAGCCAGGCCTCATGAAGGTCACAGGGTGGGGCTCCGTTGGCATCCCAGTGAGGATTGATTGCTTTAGCTCCAGACTGTGCCATCAGGGACCCCCGGGCATGCCCTTTGCCCCATGAGAGCAGCTGTTATGCTCCTTGGTGCTGGCCTCAGCCAGTCTGTACTAGAGGGAACTGGACCCCATCGGGGGCCTTGCCCAGGAGCTGCAGTTGACCTTGTTTCTCTTGCATCTTAACCAGCCAGCCCGTGGGTTCTCTTTCCTGACATCTTCAAGAGATGGGAAGGGAATTCCCCAGACGGGCCTGTGGCTCAGCCAAGCCCCAGCAGCCTCTGCCCCCGTGTCTCCATCCCCCAAGTGAGACCCCAGATAGACATGGGTTTCAGCAGCCTGCTGCTTGTTCATAAGGCTCCACAGGCATGAGGTATGTGATAAAGATGAAAATACACTGAAGGATGTAGCACCTTGGATCACGTCTTGGAAAGCGCTAACAAGGTGCATTCCATGTTCCCCTTCCAAGGAGCAAGGGATAAGAAGCTTCTTTCTCCTGTTAGAGGACAAGTCTCAGACCTCACTGGGGCTGAGGGGTAGACTCTGACCCTTAGCTTCCCCTTGGAAGGCCATGAGTGGGCTTTGGGGCTGGGCCACTCTAGCCTCACTTACAGAGTCTAGACAGGAGAAGGCTGGCATTTAACCTATGAACTCTGACTTCTGTGGCGTGCCCTTTATGCATCAGCCCTGCTTGCCTCTCAGCGCAGACCCAGGTCAGGGTGGGGTGTTAGTCAGGAATCTTGAAGTTATCAGTAGCTTAAAAAAATAGGATTTAAGGGCCTCCCTGGTGGTGCAAGGGGTTAAGACGCAGCCTGTGAAGCTGTCTGCAGCCACTGCAGCATGAGTTTGATGCCTGGCCAGGGAGGGGACCCACGTGTGCAGCAGACCTCTCCTGTCTTGCCTGCTGCTCCCCTCAGCAGTGTATTTCAGTAGATCTGCCAGTTCTGCTCCCCACTCTGTCTCTGGTGAATCCTCTCACTCTCCACACCTCTGGCCTGTAACCCCGTTCTTGTATGCATAAATAAATAAATGTTTTTTTTTTTTTAAATAGGATTTGAATTTGTTTAAGTGAGTAAAAACCCCCAAACAATAACAACAACAACAAAAGAATGGACTGGAGATCAGGCTTCAGGATAGGTTAGATCTAGGAGGTTCCAGTGATGACAACATTTGGTCTCTATCTCAGCCCACCCCTCTAGGTTCGCAGAGTCCCAGCTGAAAAGTGGAACATTTTCCAGAATGCTTGAGCAAAGGTCCCAGGGTTAGCACTGATCAGAACTGATCCCCTCCTCTGAACCAATCAGTGGCCAGGAAGGTGTGATGATCCATTTGGCCAAGTCTAACTCACATCCTTACATCAAGGCCGGGAGAAGGTTGCAACCAACTAGAAAGTGGGAGGGGGAGCAGGGCGGGGGGGGGGTGAGCTGTCGAGCAGAGAGGCAGGGAGGGAGACTTTGCCAGAGTACAACAACCACAGCAGAGGGACCCAGAGGCTAAAGCCCCCCCCAGGATGAGCGGTACAGACGCGCCTTTGTCTTTGGGGAGAATGTGTCCAAGCCAGATTTCCCCTCCACAGCTGGCGGGGTCTCTGCCATGTGAACGAAACAGTGCTGATGGGCCCCCTTCTCTGCAAGCAGGTGTGGGCTAGGAATTGAGACTCCCCAGGGTCCAGGGACTACCTCCACACCCCCGGGTGCTGCTCGTGGCTCCCCCTTGTCATGTCCCATCCCAGGAAGGGCATCTCCTTGCTCAGAATGCACGTATGGGCTGCTTGAAGGCTTGGAGATGGTGAAGCCAAAGAGGTTTTCCTAAGCACGTCTTGGAACTTCCATTCCCCGCCATTGCTTTGGTCCAGCCTGGCCTGAGCTGCCCCGAGTATCCCTTAAATTCAAGTTATTCCCAAGGAACTGTGATGCCTGGGAATAATCTTGGGCGCCAATAACGTGACAGTCGAGAACAGTTTGGGTTCCAATGTCAGTTCTGCCACTGACCAGCTGTGTGACCTTGGGCAAGTTACTTAGTCTCTCTGTGCCCCATGTAAAGTGGAAATAATGAAAGTTCCTATTGTGCTGTGAAACTGAGTTGCTATAGTCTTTTCACAGTGGCTGGCTCCTGGTTGGGCCTCTCTGCAGGTTAAAGTATTACTACGGTGATTTTGGTCCTGCCTCAAGTAACTTGTAAACATCTCAAGCTCTCTTGCTTCTTTTTTACACAGATAAACGAACCTTGCAGGAAAGAACTTAAGGGAAGCTTTTCTTAGCAAAGCAAGCTTAGTGCTTCTGATGAGAATGCAGATAATGAAGGTGCTATCCCACCGTGAGACAGACTTTTGATTTGTTTGGTTTTGCTGGATCTTGTACTTTGTTTTTTTTTAAGATTTCATTTATTCATGCATATAAGAACTGGGGTACAGGCCAGAGGTGTGGGGGGTGAGACGATCCACCAGAGACAGAGTGGGGAGCAGAACAGGCAGATCGACTGAAATACACCTCTGAGGGGAGCAGCAGGCGACACTGGAGAGGTCTGCCGCGCCACGTGGGTAGCCCTGTAGCCGTGGATCTAGCTCCTGCTGCAGTATTTGCGGATGGATACGCTTAACCCCTTACACCACCAGGAAGGCCCCCCTTTATTGCTTTTTAACAGACTGTTTTTAGAGCAGTTTTAGGTTTGCAGAAAAACTGAATGGGAAGGACAAGGAGTTCCCAAATGTTCCTTCCCCAGCTTCCCTGTTACAGCAACTTGATTTAGTGTTACAGTATTTGTTGCAGCCTGTGAATCAATATTGATACATTCTTATTAACTAGATTGCATAATGTTCACTTTATTATGTTAACTTTAAAGGTCACTTTTTGGGCAGCTCTGTGGGTTGGAACAGCAGTTTCACTGCCCTAAAAATACGTGAGCTCCCCTATCCCTCCCTTCCCCCCGACCCCCAATCCCCACTCACTTTTCACTGTCTGATGGTTTTGCCTTGTCCGGAATACTATAGTTGGGATCACACAGAGGCTAGTTTCTTTCACGTAGCAACGTGCATTTAAGCTCCCTCTGCCTTTTTATGTCATTTGGCTTTCCTTTACAACAAAAAAACCCAAAAAAAAACAAAAAACCAAAACCCAGGATATTCAGATCTCTAAAAGCACGCGGCAAAGAAGAAATGCCCTTCCCCTCTGGGAGGTGAAACGTACTGACAGATCTTGCCACCTCTGCTTTAGGATTGCCTTTGTCCCCTGTCTAGAAGTTACCCGTGCGATCGGGGTCCCCATGTTGCCCTCTTCCCTGTCATTCTCCTGTGGAGACAACCCCGTTGTCAGGATTCTCCGGCTCTGTGTGTCCAGAAACAGCCCACCGTGGGGTCCGTGTGGTGTTGAACTTCACATACTTGGGATTCTGTCATGAGGAGGGCTTTTGTCCAGGGAGACCTTCTGAGGGGTGCTTTCTTGTCTCCCCGGGCCTGGTGGGGGAGGGGGCCGAGGGGGTAGGGGAGCGTGGAGCCTCAGCCCTCGGCCTCCAACCCCCTGAAAGCAGCCTGTGCCCTGGATTCTACAAACTTCCAGCCCCACCGAGAGGGAGCCAAGGGGTCAGGCCCCAGCTCCAGCAGACCCAGAGAACAAAGCTCCTTTGTGACTTTTGTTTTGAATCAGCTTGTGACAAAGAGGGGGGGCGGTGGGGAATGTGTGCCCAGAGCATGATGTGGATGCAGGAGAAGAAAACAAAACTGTGTCTTGTTTTGCTGCTGTGTCCGGCTCCCGGCCCCCGCCAGCCCTCCGCACGGCAGGATTTCGTAACGGCAGCTTGGGGAACAGACCCAGCGCCCCGTTCAGAAGCAACGTGTATCAGCCGACGGAGATGGCCGTTGTGCTCAACGGTGGGACTGTAAGTATCAAGAGGTGATGTGCGGGCGGCCAGGCTCAGAGCGGCCCTGTCGGGGAGCAGCTTCAACGGGGACACGTTGCTCGGTGGAGGCTGCAGAGACCGTGGGTCCTGTCGACACCCCGGCAGCTAGAATGCATGTGATGCTTCCACTCTCTTCTTTCTCTGCTCCCCCTTTCTCCACACACTAGAGCCACTCACACTTAGTTCACCATGTATAGATTCATTTGGAAGAGACCCTATTTTGGGGGGGGGTCTGGTACCGTCATTTGTTTGCCTTCCGTGATACAGAAGGTAGCCCAGCTCTCTCCTGGCAGGTGACTTATAGAAAAAGCCCAGAATTGGGAAATCCCGGCAGATTTTTGCAACCACCTAGCCTAGTTTATCACCCCTCCCCACCTGGCCCCCTCTTTGCGCCCCCCCCGCCCCCCCCCTCCCCCGTCGGGTACTGGGTCCTCCCCCGCCCGACTCCCTCAAAGAGGTCTTCAGAAACTGACGCGGGGCTCTCGCTCCCTCAAAGAACTGACTGTCCAAGCTGCGGTTTACTATCTGATGCCAAACAGACCTTCAGCAGAGCTGTCATCCTTTCTGTTTTCCCTCCGTGCAGTGACATCATTGTTCCTCCAGCAATCCAAAGACACGCTCTCATTCCCACGTTTAATTTCCAAACATAGCTACATGCTTCTTCCAGAAACAACGCATCAGCCCGCCGACGTCTGTGCACTGGCTTCCATCCTCTGTGTCATGTGCCAGTTCCATAACTCAACCTGAGCTTTCTCTTTCTTTTTTTTTCTTTTTTTTTTTTTAATGTTAACTCAGGGATGTTCTTTGATCTCAGGAGGGACTTGGGTCTTCCTCTCAAGGGGTAGGCAAGGTGCTGCTTGGCCACGTGGCATTGGGCCACCACATGCTCAAAGACAAACAGACGAACAGGTTTACATTCTGAAGACCCCCGGCCCTCCCTGGGCCTTCTGGGGGCTAGAAAAAGCCTCCATCCTGTGTGTTACAATCAGTATGTGAAAAAGCAGCACCTCCCCCCGCCCCCCGTTGCTCTTGTGCCCCAGTGGGCCTTTCCAGGCCAGTGAGCATGGAAGCCTCCACCTAGAAAGGGCTGTGGGTTTCTGGGTAAGGAAGCCTGCTCATCTGGGTGCGTGGTGGCGCCGGGGAAGGGGCATGACCTTCCCCGAACGCGGAGAGCTGCTCTCCTTGGGAAGGACTCTGTCTGTGAGGAGAAAGTCAGGTGACGTAACTGGTGTGCTAATTAAACTTGGTTTCTAGGTTGACTTTGCCAGCACAGAGTTCTTAGTGTGTTATCCTTGTTTCCAGATCCCAACCGCTCCGCCAAGTTACACTGGACGACACCTCTGGTGAAAGACTTAAGTTGCAGAGAATAAGAATCTCTCTTACCGATTTTATTCCCTGGCTGTGTCTTTCTTGAGGGAGAAATCGGTAACAGTAGCCGAACCAGGCCGCCTCGCAGCCAGGAGCTTTGGAAACCCTAGACAAGGGGATTTCGTGTAAATGTGAACACTGCTGAACTGAAAGGCTAACACCGACTGCCCTACACACACACACACACACACACACACACACACACACACACACACCCACACGCACAGACATGCATACACGCACACACATAACACCAAGCCAACCTCGATCCCTCGATCCCTGCAAACTAAAGCAAAGCTAATTGCAAATAGTATTAGGCTCACTGGAAAATGTGGCTGGGAGGGCTGTTGCTCCTTCTGGGAGTAGAACAGAACCAAGTTCACAGCTGGTGGGCCTGGCCGGTGTTGGTTGACTCTGGCCGTCCCGACCCCATCACCCCACCCCGGCAAGTGGGGGGCCCTGGCGGTCTCTTGGAGACGACCGTCTCATTGAGGACTGTTGGGGACCTTTCCACCGCCTTGCTTGTTGGTTTGCACATTTCAGGGGGGTTGGGAGCAGTTGAGGAGGTTGTGGGTGTGATTCCTTCCAAGGTGGGCCCCAACAGATTCACGGGGTAAGCTTTCCAGCCAGTAGTGGTGGAGGAGCCCTGGCATGTGCCAAAGAAGGGGAGGCTACCTGGGAGTTGAAGGGGCCATCGCATTGAGAAGGTGGTGACCAGCCACTGTTCCTTCTGTGGGCTGCTTTGCTCCAGCGTCTATGACAGGAAAGCCAGTACCTCCCTCCCTGGGGGGGCCTGCAGCCTGCCCCTTCGTGGTCTCCTCTGCCCGCACTCACCAGTGCTCCTCTAAGCCCCTGCCAAGTGTACCCCATGTTCATTACAAAAGCCTAAAGCCCTCCTGGGTGGGCGGGCCTCCGTGACGTGTGTGGTAGTGGGCTGCCCGGCGGTGCCCTTAGGGCGCAGAGATGACACCTGGTGGCTGCCTGGCCTGCTGAGTGGTCTTGGATCTTGGTTAGTGACAGTTCCAGGGTGGGGTGGAGCACACGAAGGGTTTCTTGCTGCTTTGGGGAGTACGGTCTGGGGAGCACTTCTGTCTTGGTTTACTGCAAGTTCCATGAAAAAGTTCCTCTTCAAAGCCCATCACTTCTGCTCATGGTTTCCATCTGTCCTCAGCAAATCATCCCTCTGTTATTTGGCATCTCGAACATCTCGGCCATCAAAGCCCATGTCCTCTGCACTGTTTGGCCAGCATAACTGCTAGTAACGATCCAAGCAAGGCGTTCTAACCTGACGGCACGGAATGTATAAGCAAGGGTGCGACCTTTTGTGTCTCTTCTAATGACTATATTGCTTGTTTTTTCTATAAAACAACCCATAAGCCTTTAACCTTTTAAAGCAAATGAAAAAGGTTAGTGTTTGGGGGAGGGGAAACTGACCTCTTCATAAGCCAGTATGTCAGAGCTGAGTATGTTTTAATAAACCTTCTGATTTTTCTCGAGGCCCTAGTCTGCTGTGTCCCGTCCTCACCCTCCCCGCATCCTTGCCCAGCGCTGGGGGACAAGGCCAGTCTGGCCATCCCCTAACCCTCCTTGGCGTCTTCCCGCTGGCTAGCGCTTTCCCTGTGTCGGCCACGCTGAGGGGGGGGGCGACGGCATGCACACGCTGGCCCTACCTGACCCCCGGGAAGCTGCCTGCCCCTGCCCGGAGCATGTGCTTGCTTTTAGAGCATCAGACTCCAGCCCTCTGTGCCGGGAGCACTGGGGAGCACTGCACACTTGGAGTATTGGGGAGGGAGGAGTAAGAAGCCAAGACCGGGGTGGGGGCAGGGGGTGGCGCTGCATGCACGCTTAGTATTCTGCAAATACAGAATTCTCCCAGTGCCTCGGTCCAGTCTGGTGAAAAACGACAGCGTTACACATTCTCGTGCCAGGAAATGGTTGCTCAGCCCCGCTCTCTGGAGTCCTTTGGAGCTCTCTGATACCATCAGTGACTCGGTCTGCAAGAGCCCCCCCTTGCAGAAGGGGGCGATTCTCACCATCGCTGTCTCTCCCAGCTCTTGGTGGCCCAGGCACATAAGGTGAGCGCAGCGCGAGTGGCTGTCAGTGGAAAGTGCGTTCCACCACCTTCGAGATGGAGCCAGCTTGGAGCCAGGGGGAACCTCACTTAATGAGACCTTTTTCATTTCTATCGCTGATACTTCATTGCGCTTCTGGGTCTTGTTTTATTTTGGCTTTAAGGTCTAGAGTAGGCCGCGTGCCCTTGGGATCCAGGGGGAGGTGGAGAGAGGGTGCAGGACAGAGAACTGTTGTTTTTCTAAGAACTTCACCTGAAAGGTACAAAGAGACACCTTTACCAAGAGACTGTGGCAGCCAGCTGCCCCCACGGAGCAAAGTGGAAATACGAAGTTAAATAGCACCTCTGATGAAGATCTGTTTATGTAAACAAGACTTGTTGGGGGAAATGAGCCTGGCGGAAAGCATCTGTGATCAAAATACCTAATTGAAAGCACAAGTCTTCCTGTGTCCGGTTATTAAAATCACCTTGGAACTATAACAGCCACTCTTGCCCCCCCTTTTAATAGAAAATGCTCATTCTGTTCTGGATTTCTTCACCGGACCGAAGGGTGGGCAGTGAGGGCATCAGCTTGGAGGACCGACAAACTAGAAAGTTCTTTCTTGGGTCATGGGTTTTCGATTTGGTTGTTGAAGTCCGTGCTCTTAGAGATTCTGTCAGGGCTCCCTGAATAAGGGTAAATGTGGGGTGGTCTTCTTGCTTAGCCAAGGCTGAGTTGAACCGCAAAATGAAGGGAGCATTGTGGCTCTTATAATCCGATGATGCAACGATCATACCAGCTTCCCGGAGTTCTCGGCAGGTGCTTTTTATTCAATGAGAAAGAGCTAAGGCTCGTTTTTGATAGATAATATATATTTATTAAATGTATTCATGTGTGTTTTATAATGTACCTTTATCCTCCCCTGGCTGACTGTTGCATTCTCCTAAAAAAAGTTGTTAAAGAAATCTGAAGACAATCAATGTGTATCATAAATGACTGTATATAAATATTACAAATTTAAAAGGTTGTAAAGCATGGGCAGATAGGTTTTATTTTCAAAATGCTGTTCTTAACACAAAAAATAAAGGCTTTCCTATTTACTTAAGACGTGTGGTAACTTGTCCAAACAGCCCAGTATAACTTCTAGCTTTCCATCTGCTTGGAGGCTCAGTCTGCGGCTTTGTGAATGGGGGAGTTCTGGTTAACAGCCAACCGCAGAACAAATGAGGGTCATAAGTTACCCATCAAATGAGGAACTTTCTATAATACTTTGGGGCCCAGGCAACAAAAACCCTTTGTCTGTGATTTCTGTCTGGGCTAAATGTCTCATCTTGTGGGTTTGCAATAAAAATGAAGGGCCGGTCGCCTTTGGAAATGACTGGGGGGCTGAGGGGGGTAGTGTCTTTCACAAAAAGAGTACTCACTAAATAAAACCACCGCAGATTTGGGGACCTGAATTTAAATACGGATCTTGGCAGAGATGGCCACAAGTGGGAAAGTGGAAACTCAAGCACCTCATGTCTGAGGAACTAGAGATGGTTGGTGGAGAATGCTCTGGAAGAAATACATGGATGAAAGAATAAAATTTGAGGGAAATGCAGAAAGTTTAGCCTGGAACTTTCCTGTATATTGTTTGCACTAAGGCCTGTTGCCTACACATTCCATGGTGTGTGGAAAGATTCCATATTCGTGTGCATAAGTCACCACAGCGAGAGCATACTTTGGCCATCTTCCTGCCTGAGCTCCTTGGCACACCGAGGCGAAGAGACGGCAAGAGTGATTACGGTGGGGGAATCGCCGCCGAAGCCCCCTCATCATCCTCCATCTTGCATTTCACTGTGAAGAAATGAGAGAGATAGTCAGAGCGGATGTACGTTCCTGGACAGACTGGTCACTTGGAAACTGCAAACTCGGATGCGTGCAGGGCGGTGGCACCAAAGCCTGCTGCTGAGCGCCTACAGTGGTTCTGGCCCAGCCAGTTTCCTGGGCAGGACACAGGGCTGTCGTGCTCCACTTCGCGCAGAGTTCATGGCCATTCTTAACTCAGTTCAGAAGGTCAGAGTGTGCTCTGTAGGCCGGGGGAACCGAAGGAAGTTTGGCTAAAGGTGATGACAGATTCCGGGCTCTCCGCTCAACCCAGTCATCACTACCCTGCCCGGACTCCCACCAGCCCAAATTAAAATCTCAGGTGGCGCTGGGATCAACACAAGGTCAGAAGAGAATCTTTTCTAGTTGTTCACTGTCTGGACCAGAATGTGATCCCGGTGATTTCCTGAGTTGGCCAAACAGGAAGGTTGGCTGAACACAGCAAGGCACTATTTGTAAGGCAAATGAGACTCAGAGGTCTCTCCCACCAGGAATATGGAAATCCAGCCCCCTGGCCGGGTGGGGGAGGGAATGTTTGGAAAGACCCCGTCTGTTTTGATAAGTCTTTGCTTCTAGTGTCCAAGCACTTGCCAGGGATAGTGATGCCTGAAAGGGTGTTTTGAGACAGGTCACAGGCTCTGGCTACTTGTGGAGAGCAATGTTCCAGCAGATAGGAGTTCGGGGTTGCTACCACATAGGGCAGAGGTTTCCTTCCGTCCGGCCTGTCCCCTGCACTGGTCCTGACCTCCCAGAGACCAGGGCAGCACGGACAGCCTCACGCACACTGCAGGTGTTTCCCCAGCCTGCACACGGCTGAACAAAGACCACCCAGGGTTCCTGGTCATGGTGACTGTTGTGCAACCATCCCAGGCTGGGCAGGTTCATGGTTGATTCAGGCAAACGAGAAGAGAATTTTGGAGCCTGGTACCTCTAACATGTCACTAGTGCTCAATCAGGGGACGGGACGCAGGCAGACCAGTAGGCAGGGAGGCAGGCAGGCAGCACCCGAGGCCCGAGCCCCGGTGTTATTTCTCAACCCAGGTGTCCGTATTTACATATGGCCACACCCCATGCTCACGCTCCACGCGCCTTTTGCAATCATGCCATATCACACGTGGGCAGCGCACCCTGGGAGGACAGCAAGGCCGCAGTGGCAGCGGCAGAGGCTGCTGGCGGGACGAAGAGCCCGCGCCACTTCATCTGCCCCACAGTGATCCGGGGTCAAGGAAAGCCAATTTCCAATTTCAGCGTCCATGCATGATCTTGCAGTTTCGGGGGTTGTACATGTCCCCCTCCGCTCCTTCTCCCCATCCTGGCATTGGCAGTGTGTAAAACACCCGGGTGCCAAACAAGGAGGTAAGTTGAAATGTTGGTGTCCCCCAAAGCCTCTTTACTATGTTTAATAACAGCAACATTTATAATTACTTTTTTGGATTCATGAACTAATAACTAACTCAAACCAGAAAAATGTTAATACGTGGAGCTTGTGTTCACTGGAAATTTTGTTTTAATTGTTTTCGATGTATGGGAGACTTCTTTGTTCCACCTCCATGGAAACTCTGGGTAAGCACAGGGAGACCCTAGACATCTCAACCCTGTTGAAGCTGACAAGGAATGACCCTTCCTAGCCAAGGATGCGCCACACCTTGGTAGGGGCTCTTCCAATACCTGCTGATCCAATAGTGCCCCAGATATGAATGACTGACTGCTGGTGGGGGAAGGCTCCTGATTTGTAGCTTTTGCCAGTTTCCACCGTGGATTTCAATTGCCAGGCGGACAACTGGACACAGAGCTGGGAAGAGACATAGCAGAGTGAGCAGCTCAGCACAGAGCTGTGGGGAGAGCAGAGCCTTGAGAAAGTTCTCCAAGTGTGGCTGGGGGACCAGCTAGGAATCTGCTGGAAATGCAAATCCAGGGGCCCAACCCAGACCTACTAAGTCAGAAGCTGGGGGTGGAGCCCTCCAGTGCCTCTGATGGATGCTGCTACAGCTGGACCGTTCTGTGCTGGCTGTGAACCCTGACCGCCTCAAATCCCTGGGCAATCTCTGAAACCTAGTGGTGTCCTGTCTCAACCACGGTCATGTAACGGTCTGGGGCCCGGGCATCAGTCATCAGTGTTGACTCAAGGCTCCCCTGCTACTAATATTCAGGCAGGTTGAGACATAATCTGTGGGTGGAGTCCTTTCACTCCTTTTAAAGAAACATGATGGAAAAGCACCTTAGAGCCACTCAGAGTGTTACGGAGCAACCGATATAAAAATGGGTTGCTTGGCTGTGGGTTGTCACCCGCGCACTTAAAGGGGACTTAAGGGATTTGTCTTTGCCAATGTCCTGATGGCTTTGGTCTGGAGTGGGGGTGGAGTTCACAAAGCCTGTATGGAATTAGCTTTAGGACATCCTTTTCCCCCTAACAAGAGGAGTGTAGAATTCCCCCTCGATGTCCAAGCTCAAGCTGGCTGCCTGCTGAATCCCCATCTTAACTGCTTGAATGACCTTTGTGTCTACCACTGCGACAGATGCTGGAGGCTCCTAGCACAGAGGGGAGGGCTGGCAGACAGGAGGCCTTCCCAGCCCCTGGGGTTTTTCAGTTGCTCCACACAGCCTGAAGCAAGAACTCACCTGCTTGCCTTTGTCTTGGGGTTTTCATCAGATCCTGTCTGTGCTTCTGATAACCTCTCCACACACTCCCTGCACTTGGACCTTGCCTGGGGAAAGCCCGTAGGAGCAGTTTCAATCATTACACAGAAATCATGAGGGAGGAGAGTGGAAGGAGCTCCTTTAAATGGCAAAGTCGGGCCTCCCCTGGTGGTGCAGCGGTTGAGCGCTGGGTTGCGAAGCTGCCCGCAGCCTCTGCAGCGCGGGTTCAATCCCCGGCTGCTCCCCGTCCACCGGAGGAGGGTCCCACATGGCGCGCAGACCTCTCCTGCCGCCCGCTGCTCCCCTCAGCAGTGTACTTCATCACTCTGCCTGTTCTGCTCTCCCCTCTGGCTCTGGTGAATTCTCTCACCCTCCCGCGCTTCTGACTGTACCCAGTGCTTATATAAATAAATAAATAAATCTTTAAAAAAAATAAATAAATGGCAAAGTCAAGATATTAACTAGGGTTGATGGGTGGGAATGAGGCTGGGTGTGCGGTCCCCTGGTGAGCTTGGGCAGCCTCAAAGCCTCGCCCACCTTGGTCACTCAAGTCAGAGTCTCATAGGTGGAAGCTGTCCCTTGCTGTGACCACACAGGAAAACTGGCTTTCAAGAGAAATAGTCTGCCTGCTCCCCGCAATGCTGCAGTTCTGCCTCTGCATCCACCCCTGGGAGAAACCCAGGATGTACTGTGTGCTGGGAATTGGGGTGTTCGCGAGAACAGCAAACTGCAAATAATAAGAATGTCCATCGCCCGGATAAACCACCCGTGGCCTCCATGAGCAGTGAGTACACAGCAGGGACACAAGTGGGGCACACGGGACGGCAGTTCCCCTACCAGGGTCGAAGGGAAGGGTGGAGGCACAGAAGCGCACGCACATGCGTGTGTATAGCAAATCCATGCGGAGGGGCACACACAAGAGAAGAACTGTAGAGAAAAGCAATAGGGTGGTTATTACAAGCAAGGGCCCATGGCTTCATAGGGGCCAGGGAGGCTTTAAAAGTGTTGCTCTATTTCCTTAACTGGGGTGGTGGTTATTTGAGTGTTTCATAGTCACAATTGTATGTAGGTAGCACACCCCCAATCCCTCAAATGGTAAAAGAATAAAGATGGTAGTGTATTATTGAAACAATAATATTTCAATAATCAAAGTCAATCAATTAAGGAATAAAGACCTCTGTGGTAGCCTAGGGGGATGGCCCGAGTTCGATCCCCCGCCAGGGAGCTGACCCACATGGCGCAGCAGACCTCTCCTGTCTCTCCTGCTGCTCCCCTCAGCAGTGTATTTCAGTAGATCCGCCTGTTCTTCTCCTCACTCTGTCTCTGGTGAATTCTCTAACCCCCCGCACCTCTGGCCCACAGCCAGTTCTACACACACACACAAATAATTAAAAAAATAAAGGAATGGAAGAGGGCGTCATAACAGTTAGAGCAGGGTAGGGCTCGGCTGTCAGTGAGCTGATCCTCATCTGTCAGGACAGGAAATCAGTAGATAGTGTCTAAAATCTGATCTCTCTCTAGAGATACTGCAGTCAGAGAATCAGCCAGAGTTCAAAGCACTCACCACAGAAGAGGAGGCAGAGATGGTGATGATAGTTCCACTCTGGTTCTATCCTAAAAGTCTGTTTAACTATGAGAACCATGTGCAAGGATTACTTTGCTAAACATTAAAAATCAGATAAAATCTCTGCTGAGTTTTCCCCTCCCCTGATCTGGGCAGAACAGATCAATACTCAAGAAAAGGAGGCCGGGCGGTAGGGGGGAAGCAGTGGGAAGACCCGGGCAGGGGTCCTGAGTGCAAGAAGCCAGCGCCCCCCTCAGAGACATCACCAAGGTTGGCTTCCAGCACCAGCGGACAGGTGTCTCCATGCCCCTGCTCCGGCCTCGTCTCCCTGCAGGCTGGTACGCGGCCAGTTCCGGAAGGGCTGGGAGAGCGAAAAATCCCCGGGCGAAGTGCCAGCCCTGCAGCCTCAGTTAACGGCCATGTGACTAGAAAGGCCCTGCATGCTAATGAGCCCAGTTTAAGGTCTCCTCTCTGTCACCCTCGTCCCCTCCTGTTCCTAACTCGGGGAGGTCAGAGATGGTGCCTTAGCAACGTAGGGAAGAAATTTAGGGACCACAAGGTCATCCAGTTACTCTTTGGGGTCATCCAGCTGAGGCCTCAAACAGACCGGATCCCCTGGGGCAAAAGATACAGATTCCTGGGTCACTGCAGGCCTTTAGAATTAGAATCTCCAGGAGCAAGCCCTGGGCCTCTGCATCCCCACACCCTCCACCTCTGTGTCTCTGGTGAGCCTCTGAGCAGGGTGGGCAGAGAGCCTGCCCCCACAGGGCTCTCGTAGGAGGAGCAAACTCAACCCTCCTGCAAAGCACCCAGCAAGGAGTCTGACCCCAGGGCAGCACGCAGTAAGCACCCGCTATTATTATTTTTCCAGGATAGTCTTTGCTCTCAAGAAATCCACCCCTCTAGGCAGAAAAATAAACAAGGAAGTACAAAAACCAAGAGATGCTCACACACAGCAGAGGGAAGTTGCCGCAGTGAAAGCTCTTCATCATACAGCAAAGGACTGGACAGCCGCGTCCCCTGCTCCCCAGAGGAGACGGGGTCA